AAAAAAAAAAGTGTTAATGTGAGTGATTGTGTGTGTGTGTCTGACTGTGTGTGTGTGTGTGTGTGTGTGTGTGTGTCTGACTGTGTGTGTGTGTAACTGACTGTGTGTCTGTGTCTGACTGTGTGTGTGTGTGTGTGTGTCTGACTGTGTGTGTGTGTTTGTGTCTGACTGTGTGTGTGTGTGTGTGTGTCTGACTGTGTGTGTGTTTGTGTGTGTGTGTGTGTGTCTGTGTGTGTGTGTGTGTGTGTGTCTGACTGTGTGTTTGTGTGTCTGACTGTGTGTGTGTGTGTGTGTGTCTGACTGTGTGTGTGTGTGTGTGTGTGTGTGTGTGTCTGACTATGTGTGTGTGTTTGTGTCTGACTGTGTGTGTGTGTTTGTGTCTGACTGTCTGTGTGTGTGTCTGTGTCTGACTGTGTGTGTGTCTGACTGTGTGTGTGTGTGTCTGACTGTGTGTGTGTGTCTGTGTCTGACTGTGTGTGTGTGTGTGTGTGTGTGTGTCTGATTGTGTGTGTGTGTGTCTGACTGTGTGTGTGTGTGTGTGTGTATTTAGATGGTGGGTGGGGGGGAAGGGTTGGGTGGGGGTGGCGTGGGGGATGGGGGCGTCTGAGTTTTGTCCTGCCTAGGGCAGCACAAAACCAGGATACACCACTGTGTGCTGCAGGGACTTCTGATCCACCTCCCTGCGCTTCTGCAGTCAGTGAATAGTGCAAGGAGACAGATCAATGATGATCTGCTTCTCCCTGTAAAAAAATAAAGTTTAAGTTAAATCACACAAAATTAACCCCTTACATGTCAATTAATCACTGACTATAGTGATCAATTGGCAAGGACTACATTTTACTGTTATGTGATTTTTTCTTTTAATCCCTGAGGGTTAAATTTGTAATTTTTTTAACCCTAATGGGTTAAAAAAATTTTATTAATTAATTTAAATATTGTTAAAGTATATATTTAGCTAGCTGTGTTGGGTGGAAGTTTGTGTGGTATTGGGGAATTTGGTATTAGGCTAGCTAGGAGTTAACGTTAAAAAACTGTTTTAAAAAAGCTTTAAAAAGTTTTTTAAAAATGTTTTAATAACATTTAAAAACAGTTAAAAACATCCCACCCCCTTTACCCAGTCCTAATAAAAATGAACCCCTGACCTGTCAGTTGATCACTGCCTACAGTGATCAAAATACAGATCACAGTATTATATTCCCTGAGAGTTAACTTTTATTTATTTAAATTTTAACCCTTAGGGGTTCAATTTATTTAATTAATTTAAATATTTTAAAATGATATACTTTGCTAGCTGGGTTGGGTGGGAGTTATGGGAAATTTGGGGAATTTACTGTTAGTGCTGATTCCTGCTACTTAGGGGTTAACAGTAAAAAAAGGTTTATAAAAATTTTAAAAGTGTAAAAAAGTTTTAAGAAAGTTTTAAAAAGTTAAAAAAATTTAATAAGTAAAACAAATTTAAAAACGAGTTTTAAAAAGTAAAAAAGTTTAAAAGAGTAAAAAAATACATTAAAAATGCTCATTACCACTACACCTGGTACAAACTAGCGGTAAAATGATCCCACGCTAAGGTTCAAAATATTCCTTTTGAAATACCCCAGGTTGTATACTTTAAAACATGGTATGCGTTTGTGAAGTAGTTTGAATAACAAACCAGCTAAACTACTCCAAAATGGAACATGGACACTGTGTAAAACTTCAAAGTTAGAAAAAACTGAATGGCTGCGTCTCAAATCTGCCCCTTCACCATCCACATACACCTAGCAAAGGTACATACAGGCAGTGGCGTACATACCAGGGTCGCAGGGGTCGCGGCTGTGACCGGGCCCGGCTCACCAGGGGACCCGGCCACCCTGCGACCCGGTATGTTCCCACTGGGCCAGCTTCTTCTCCTGGGGGGCCCAGGAGACAGCCACATCAGGGCCCCCCGAGGCTGGCTATGGTATCACTGGGCTGGCGCGCGTGAAGGAGCACTCTCCCCTGAGTGCTTCCTCTTCAGCTCCCTCGCGCACCGCACTGATACCGGAGCCGGAAGATGACATCATCTACATGGGGTTATTGCTGTACTCAGACGACATAGCTGAGCAACATATAAAGTATTATAGAGCCGTAGCACACAAGGTTTGCAAAATATACTGTGCAAACTCACTTTGTGTGTCAAAAAGGCAGAAAAAATGCTTATTATCACTATACTTGGTACAAGCTAGTGGAAAAATGACCCCACGCTAAGGTTTAAAATATGTCTTTTGAAATACCCTGGGATGTCTTCTTTAAAAATTGGTTTGCCTTTATGGTGTAGTTGGAATATGTGGCCTGCTAAAGTGCTCCGAAGTGTTAGTGTGTGTGTGTGTTAGATGAAGTTATCGTTGATCACGAAACGCATTAGGCGGCATCTTCACAGCAGTTTGTTGGAACGCATCCAAAGACCGCAGTGGAACGCGCACGGCTGATCTTCGTGTGTTACAGCAGCACGAGGAAGTCCGGGCACACTCTTATCCGGCCGGTAAAGGAGTGATATCGACATCTCTGGACCCCCGGTCTGTAAACCAGATATCTATTACTTGCACTTTTGGGACTATTGCTATTTTACAGTCTTTTATATACATGTGTGTTTGGTTGAAAGATTTTATTATACTTTTTTCGTACTAATAAATATTCTTAACCAGTACACTATCTGCTGCACTATATAATTGACAATTTAACCCCTTGTGGGGCAAGAGCATTTTTTTCTATTTATTTTATTTCCATTTTATCTAATATGTATCGGTTCTTCTTTTGATAAGTTATAGGACTGTTACTAGATCATTGTCACAGCAGGTTTTGGATCCTTCCTACCTTTTATTGTGGAGGGTAAGGACCGGACTAGCTGATACACTTGTACTAAGGATTATTTTTATATATTCTACTCATTTTTATTCACTACTGGTATTTTATCATTTCCACTGAGTCCTGTCTATACTATTGGTTTACTCCAATAGGCACTCAAACATTATAGGACTCAGAGCTGTTATCTTGGCTAAGGGAAGTAGCACAAAGTATTGACTAAAAGGGTGCAAATATTTGTGCAATACATATGTTTAAAGGAACACTATAGTCACCTAAATTACTTTAGCTAAATAAAGCAGTTTTAGTGTATAGATCATTCCCCTGCAATTTCACTGCTCAATTCACTGTCATTTAGGAGTTAAATCACTTTGTTTCTGTTGCAGCCCTAGCCACACCTCCCCTGGCTGTGATTGGCAGAGCCTGCATGAAAAAAAAAAACTGGTTTCACTTTCAAACAGATGTAATTTACCTTAAATAATTGTATCTCAATTTCTAAATTGAACTTTAATCACATACAGGAGGCTCTTGCAGGGTCTAGCAAGCTATTAACATAGCAGGGGATAAGAAAATCTTAATTAAACAGAACTTGCAATAAAGAAAGCCTAAATAGGGCTCTCTTTACAGGAAGTGTTTATGGAAGGCTGTACAAGTCACATGCATGGAGGTGTGACTAGGGTTCATAAACAAAGGGATTTAACTCCTAAATGGCAGAGGATTGAGCAGTGAGGCTGCAGGGGCATGTTCTATACACCAAAACTGCTTAATTAAGCTAAAGTTGGTCAGGTGACTATAGTGTCCCTTTAACAAAGATTTTTTTTGTGTGTGTGTTTGCAACTGTTTGATATTTTTTCACAGCCTTCTTTGCTCATATTTACCAAATGTGCCAATATCAGTGGAGATCACTGTATATATTTCATAATGTCCTATTGATGATATAAGACAAGTTGATTCAATTTGATTTAATTGTTATGTTCTCTTCAAATGAGCATGAACTAAAAATAAAAGCTAAACTAAAAACAAAAAGAAATAACACAATCATTTCAGAGAATACAATATTGTTGCTATCTGACTTTTACAAGCATAGAAAGCAGCCCAAAGTCTGATTAGATAGCTAAGCTATTATTAATAGTTTTGTATCAATAAATATCAAAAACACTAACATAAATAATTACCTTGTACTTTGGCACAATCTTGTTTTTTGAACACTACTGGTCCAGGTTAAAAGTTTTAATATATTACAGACACTGTACAACTTTAAATCATTAGTCACGGTATTCCAGAAGTCATATTAGTACATTGTCCACAAAAACTTTTATGGGCCAATATAAGCCAATGGACCATGATGTATTTCCTGGGGAACAAAAGTGCTCCAGAGAATGAGCCAATATAATTTCCCACATCCTATTCTCGGACATTATTTAATCACATTAACTTGCACAATGATACATATTCATTTCAAGTAAATAAAATGTTCCCATTAATTGTATCATTTTATACAGTTTTTAAAATATATTTGCTGAAACTAGTACAATGCTCCTGGCAGAATTTGTATTTTAATCCAAATCCAATACTCAAAATATTTCACCCATTGGTAAGTATGGCACACAATACTTTCAGCCAATAAGTGGAAACATCTGTTCCTGAAAGCGTGCTTCTTATTTGAATACCTCTGAATAATTCTCCTTGAGATGCTTCAGACTCATTTTACCCTCCACGAGCTATGTGGTTGGCAAAGTAGACATAGCAAATAATGGACTATACTTTGTATGTGTTAACATGAGAAATTTACTATTTTTAATCCCACTGCATTTTTATTCCTTTATGTTATTGTTTTTTTTTTAAATCTTTATTCATACACATGCATACCTACAATATATGTAGGTAATGTATATCATGCACCAGATGACCTCACTTTATACCTATAGAGATCAATATAATACAATCTAGAAAGAAGATATTTTTTTATCAAAAGAAAATGCCGTTAAATGAAAAGCAGTTCGATTGCAGTTACCCAGAATAGTCAATATTTCAGTCTTCAAAGTGCCCTACAGGTGCCTCGCTAATATATAATGTATATATTGTATAAAAACTACTAAATGGGGGGGCGGAGCCGGACCGCCAAGCTGAGCAGTCACAAGCAGGACTAGCTCCTGCTGCATACAAGCTTATATCTGAAAATGGTGAAAATCGGCTTAATTACAGACCGGCAGCGAAGACCCTTAAAGCTGAAGGGACACTGGAACCAGGGAGAGGCTGGCTCACTGAGCTTCAGTCCCCTGGAGGAGAGATCATCGTTGCCCCAACTGAGGCCCTCTCCGGCGGTGAGCAGGGCATAGCGGCCGCTGCCCCGCTCTCCTGCAACACCATACCCAGCCTGAGCCATGACCCTGAACGGACTCGGCCCTGTTCCCCCCCCTATGGACCGGGGGGGTGATCCCGGTCCCCACCCCAAGGCCCTGACTCGGGTGCAGCGGCTGAGGTCGGGGGGCACGACAGCAACGATCAAGATGTGCGCAGGAGACATGGGGAAGCCTGGATTGCTACCCGAGCCTGCGGCCGACAACGCAACTCCCACATCCAGGCCCTGCCACACAGGCCACTCACCAACCTCAGCAGGGAGTCAGACCTCGGGCTCACCTTATACTCAGCCTGTAAGCACACGACCCCAGCAACGACGGCACAACATCGCGGCTCACACCAGCCCCGGAGGACCGCACGAGACAAGCACTACGGACCTCGGCTGCACCTCCTGAGAAACCAGGAAGAAGCTCTCTGGGCAGTATGGCCGGACGTGGAGAATGATGTGGAGAATGATCAAATTATCATACAACCTTTAGACAAAGGGGGTAATGTGGTGGTTCTGAATAAATCAGACTATGTGACAATGGTCCAAAAGGTTTTGAGTGATGGGGATACATATAGGGTCCTTAACTCTGACCCTACGGAGGTATACTTGGCAAAATACAAGGGTATTCTGGAAGAGAGCCGCAGTGGAGGGTTGCTGTCGGATGAAGAATACAGATTTATTCTTAATTGTCATCCAAGGATAGCAACCTTCTACTGCTTGCCCAAAGTCCACGAGAATCTCCAAATCCCACCTGGCTGCCCTATTGTGTCCAGTGTTGACAACATCACTCAGAACGGTAACCTCTATGTAGATAAAATTCTGAGGCCATTTGTTGAAAAATTACCGTCATATGTCAGGGACACCAAACAAGCCCTGTCTCTGCTGAACAGTCTCCAGGTACCACCTTTGGCCAAACTGTGTAACTTAGATGTGGAGTCCCTCTACTCCTCTATTCCATATCAGAAAGGAATAGAGCATACAAGACACTTTTTAGAACAAAGAGGCGCAAACCATCATGACCATACAGAATTTGTCTTGAGACTGTTACATTTTAACCTGTCACACAACTTTTTTTTTGTTCAACAATAAGTTCTACCACAAGGTGAGGGGTACAGCCATGGGGACAGCCTGTGCACCCTCCTACGCTAACCTTCACATGGGGTGGTGGGAGGAACAGATAATAGGTCTCTCGAATACCCTGTCAGATTTCAGATCAAAAATACTATCTTAGCACAGTTGCATAGATGACATCCTGATTGTCTTGCAGGGTACCAGTGATGAATTTAGTAAGTTTGTCACCCTTTTGAATAACAACAAACAAAATTTTAAATTCACTGCTTGAGGCTTATTTTCCTGGATCTGACTATTTCCATCTGTGAGGATGGCTCCCTTACCACGACCCTATATAAAAAACCCTCTGCCTCCAACGCCCTTCTCAGATGGGATAGCTGCCACCCGAAGCCATTAAATCAAGGTATACCGGTGGGACAGTATCTCAGGATCAGGAGAAATTGTACTAGTCTACAGGACTTTAAATCAAAAGCGAACATACTGAGACAACAATTTAGAGAAAAAGGTTATCCAAATAGGTGCCTTAAAAGAGCCTATAGGAGAGCATTGGAAACCGACAGGAGAGATCTCCTATCGGATGGACCAAGTACCAAGAAGGCTCGGGATAAGACCATAAGGATGATAGGCACTTATGACACAGGCTGGGACGTAGTCTATAATTCCCTTCAAAAATTCTGGCCAATCTTACTTAAAAATAAACACCTGAAGGACGTCCTTGGCCCTAAGGCCTCCATCACGGCACGGAGGGGTAAGAACCTTCGGGACCTACTAGTCCCAAGCCATTTCTCCACTAAACAGATCCCACCGACCACATGGCTCAAGCGTAACATCCCCACTGGTACATACGGATGTGGTAGATGTGTGACCAATAGTGAAGGAACTCATTCCTTTAAAATCAATCACTTTTTCAACTGTAATAGCGTAGGGCTGGTCTACTTATTGACATGTAGCTGCACTTTCATGTATGTGGGTAAAGCATTTCGTCAGTTTAGGGAACGAATAAAGGAAAACGCTAGGTAACCTAAAAATTGTGTAGAAACCCCTATTTCCAGATGTAGCAGAGACCTTCTGGCTGTCCATCATATTCCCTTTTTATTTGGCAACTTTTGTGTGGATTTATTGTATTCGTGAGCATTCGTCTGGTTGTTCGGTAAAAAGCCTCAAAGACTTTAGTGAACTGCTTCATTCGACATACAAACCAAAATACTGAACAACCAGACCACCCATGTGTGAAGAGTGGCTTCAATTTACCTCCCCATTCGTTTTTATTACACCTATTAGAAAAGGCACGAACACACTGTTGTATTCCCTGGGTGGCCGCCATTCGGCATACGAACACGTGGCGGTGGCCATCTTAGCATACGAACGCTCAGCGGTGTTTGGTCATCGAGTGTCTGGAACTCAAATCGGACACTCAACTACATGAACACCGCTAAGACTTCCAGGGTTCCATAAACTGTCGAACGAAACATCCGAACAGCCCGCCGTTTGGCTAAATGAATCTCCCGAACATCCAGCTCAACCCTGGATGGCAAGGATTGTCATGTCTTTTTTCTCACGAATAGAGACCGACCGCGAGGCTAGAATGTGTGGAATTGATTTCGGCTATTGCCTTGTGTGCGGTCGGTCAAATGAACACTTCCACCTAACTCCTGAACCCCTGGTCCTATCTGCGTGATTTTTGAATATGTTGCTCACCCAGATCAGGGCTATCAGGGGATATCACATATGGGGGTGTACCTGGTATATTTGGGGTACATCCAGAAACTGGGGGAAAGTATGTACAGTATAATTTGATTATCTGTTAAGCTGAGGGGAGGAGATGTGTGGGAGGTAACATGTATCTGATTGGTTATTCTACTAATTATTGTGGGTGTCTCCCTTGCATGGGAGAGATGCATATAAGCAGGGTATGTGGAATAAAAGTTCAGTTCTGCTCTTGTCACTGTGTGTCGTCCAGTCATTGGGAAAGGTGATGGGATATCCTTGGATTGTTTTGCTGACTGTGGATGCTATTCTCTTGGGTTTTACTACTTGTTCCTGAGCCCTACTTGAATTACCAGCGGAAATAGTCTGTGAGAAATCAGTACTCCGCTACACCTGACATCTCAAAGAACATCATGGTGGGACATCTAGGGACATTAGGTTTTGTGGCTTGGAACTGGTCACTTTTAAGTCAGTCCCCGTGCGATCAGTTTGAAAGATCTATTTACAGCCCCCTAAACACATTCAGAATAAGTATGAATCAATATGCCTGTATATAGTCGGGCATTTACTTTCTGCAACAATGTATTGAGACTGTAACTTTATTATTTTGGCATCCTCTGATTTTGATCCGGCGCTCTACAGGTTAATTGGGTTGTCAGGGAACATATTAACATCTTAGTGGGAGTCTGTCTCTAATCCCCTCCCCTAATTCTGATGAGCATTTGGATTCCACAATGGGAGTGAGTCAATTGAAAGAAACTCCCACTTAACGTCTGATACGATCGGATTGGATGGTGGAGGGCTTTATGTCCTCATTTAAACACTTATGGGAACACTTGACACTTAGCTCTTGACAAAGGCGTATCCTTAAGCTGAAACGCGCTTCGAGTGCTTTTGGTGCCGATGTTCTACATTTGAGTTTAGGTTCTGGGAGAGTTCATCTGCAAGAGGTTGTTTTATTTGACGTGGAAGTGGGGTTTACTAGGCAGGCTGCCTTGAAGCAGCTACAGGAAATAGGGGCTTTGGGTATCGACCTACCAGGTTGCCTTACAGTAGCATCAGGAGATAGGGGTTTTTGGTATCACCAAAGGGTTAGTGACAGCCAGCGACTGTGTGACCGGATATTGGTATTTAACAAACTCCTATTACTTCAGTAATTTAACAATTTGGCAGTTAGTACTTTGAAGCATTTGATGCTTACGTAACAGCTACAATATATAAGTTGGATAGTCACTTGTGTGCAGCGATTCTAACACTTCAGCCCATTTTGGTGGTACTGCCCCTAAATGCACCGTTTTTAGACAAGCCCTTTTTTTTTTCTTTTTTGCAACCATCCCCTCCTCTGTGTAAATATATATATAGAGAGAGAGAGAGAGAGAAAGAGAGAGATATAATATTATTTATAGTTTTCTATGAAGTCTGAGAAATGCAGTGTATAGATAAAAGTTAATTCTGTTGATATATAAACTAGAACATTCACAAGGAGCAATTGGAAAACTATATGCCAAGTGTTTCATACAAATAATGAAATAGCCAATAATATTCCAATTTTGTTAGTGGGGTATTCCAAATAGTAAATCAGCAGTTGTTAGCACAAATGATCTGTCTATTTAGAGCAGGCATTCTGACACTGACAATATGTGCAGTTTGTGTGTAATTAGTGTTCTTGTCTTTGATTTTATTTGTTCCATTCATCATTTTTCTTAATGCTGTAATGTAGATTGAATGTAAACATGATTCACAATTCCAAAAAGTGCTTTAACAAAGAAACAAATGACTGATTACACAATGGAGTTTTTTGTTTCCAATTATATTCTACAAGCACTTCACACCTTTAAAGAATGTCAATGCAGCATTTGGAAACATTAGCACTTAAAGGAACATGCATCACTTGACAATTATTTAGCCACTCGTCCACTTCATCTCATTGACAACTTCTAGACTTGAGATGCTTCCTGGATTTCCACAGGGTTTAACTCTGTGAAATGACGTTGGACATCCTCACACTTTTTATGAGGATGTCAGGCGTTCAAAATCCCATAGGAAAGTGTTGATTCAATGCTATCCTATGGGGAAGGTCTAATGTGTGCGCATTAGGTTCCCCAATCACTCGAAATAGGATCCAGCGCCAAGGGAAGGGGGTGCTGGTAAGGCTTCTAGGGGAAAAGGCACATGATCACGTTCAAGATACAATTTTTAATTCCTAATGCTATAGTGTTCCTTAATTTATGGATAGATTTCTACAGCAATGAATAGTTCATTTGAATGACACATACACTTTACTTGTATAACTCATTTATAAAAAATTTTTTTTGCATTTTATAATAATAATAATAATTGGAGATTTTTATAGCTCCTCCCTGTGATACTTAAAGTACTTTACAAACATAAAGACATAAAAGTTAGGAGCTTCTGAAGGTCAGCTGAGCGGACTGAATGCCTGATGGAAGAGGTGGGTCTTTTTTTTTCTTTTTTTTTTAAACCTTGTCTGTAAGGACGGTGCCTCTCTGATTGCTAACGGTTAAGAGTTCCAGAAAGTAGGGTCAGCGTGGTTGAATGCCCTGGAACCTGAGTTTGTCTTTATTCTTGGCACTGACAGGAGGGATTTGCTGGCTGACCGAAGTGAAC